TTTCGGAGTTAGCTTGGAAGAATAAATCTCATGTTGGAAGAATAAATTTCATGTTGGAAGCTTAAGTTAAAATAGTTGATCGGATGGTGACTTATGTGTAAACGACACCGGAATAGAGTTTTGATGATTCCAATAGCTCTGTATGGTGATTTTGGACTTAGGAGCGTATCCGAAAAATTATTTGGATGTCTGTAGTGGAATTAGGCTTGAAATGCCGAAAGTTGAATTTTTGGGAAGTTTGACCGGGGGTTTACTTTTTGATATCGAGGTCGGAATCCGATTCTGAAAATTGGAATAGCTTCGTTATGTCATTTATGACTCGTGTGGAATATTTGAAGTCATTCCGAATTGATTTGATGTATTTCGGCACAAGATATAGAATTTGAAAGTTCAAAGTTCGTTAGGCTTGAATTGAGGTGCGATTCGTGGTTTTAGCATTGTTTGATGTGATTCGAGGTTTCGACTAAGTTCGTATGATGTTTTAGGACTTATTGGTATATTTGGTTGAGGTCCCGAAGGACTCGGGTGAGTTTCGGGGTGGTTTCGGATAATTTCTAGGCCATTTTTAATTGCTGGTTTCTGCCTATAGAGGTGTGCATCACGATCGCGAACATTTGGTCGCGTTCGCGAAGAGCAAACAGCAGTTTGGGGCCTTGTGAATTGCGATCGCGGAAGCTCTTTCGCGATCGCGTAGAACAAAATCTCTGCTGCACTGACCCGACTTTGGAAGCTTATATCTCGCAATCTATAAAGAATTTGGAGATGATCCAAAAATGAAAGTTGTAGCTCTTGATGTCTAGTTATTAGAAAAGTAAACCATTTGTTATTTGGAGTTATTTACAAAAAGGTATGGTGAATAAACTATAGGCTGTCTGGGAAGATTTTGAAAATCTCTGTTGCATAAGGCTGACTTTGGAAGCTTATATCTAGCAATATATAAGGAATTTGAAGATGAGCAGCAAATGAAAGTTGTAGCTCTTGATGTGTAGTATTCAGAAAAGTAAACCATTATCATTTGGAGTTGTGTACAAAAAGTTGTGGTGGATATACTATAGGCTATCTGAGAAGAGTGTGGAAATCTATGTTGCACAGGCTGACTTTGGAAGCTTATGTATCGAAATACATAAGGAATTGGGAGATAAGCAACAAATGAAAGTTATATCCCTTGGTGTCTAGTTTTCAGAAAGTTAAACCATTTGCAATTTGGAGTTTGTACAAAACCTTATGACCATTATACTAGAGGCTCTCTAGAAGAGTTGGGGAGTTTGTGCTTCACGAACGCGAAGTGCAATTTTGGGGTTTAAAATTTTGTGCTTCGCGATCGCGAAGAGTAAAGGCCTGGACAGAAGATATATTTTGAGGTTTCGGCCATTTTAACATATTTGGAGTTATGGAGCTCGGATTGAAGCGATTTTTGAGGCGATTTTCACCATATGGATTCGGGTAAGTGATTCTAACTCGATTTTGTTTAAATTACACAAATCTATTGTTGTTTTTACCAACAAATTAGTGTTTTGGGTTGAAAATAGTAGAAAATATCATAGACTTTAATTGAGGATTTGAAGGCCGAGTTGTGGTCGAATTTGAGTAATTTTTGTATGGTGGGACTCGTGGTTGAATGGGGGTTCGGATTTTGTGAGTTTTATCGGATTCCGAGATATGGGCTCTACGGGTGATTTTTGAGCTAAATTTCAGATTTTTATGAAAAATTAGTATTTTCTTATGGAATTAATTTCTATAAATTTTATTGACTGAATCGAATTAATTGTGGCTAGATTCGAGGCGTTTGGAGACCAATTCACAAGGCAAAGGCATAGCGGAGTAAAGAATTACACGGTTTGAGATAAGTAGCACTTCTAAACTTCGTTCTAAGGGTATGAATCCCCGAATTTGATATGATATAATTTGTTTGGAGGTGACACACACGATAGGTGACGAGCATGTGGACGTGCACCATATAAATTGTGTCTTGAATAAATCCTGTGTAGTTGTAAGATTAATGAATCATGTTATTATCTGAACATTATCCATGTGTTAGAGAAATTGAACTGAGGCTCCTATTAAAGATCATGTTTAGGCTACGTGCCAATATTTTGGGACCCATGGGGTCGTGTTGCTGTTGAATTAATTGTTCAAAAAATATACATTTCACACTCAGTAATATTTGTCCATTGTGAGAATATTTATGGGATCGAGTTGCACGACGCAATAGGCCATAATGGCTTTATACATTATTATTATATGGATCGGGGCTGCCCGCCTGCAGCAGGCCTTATAGGCTTTACTATTATATGGATCGGGGCTGTCCGCTTGCAGCAGGCCAGGCCTTATAGGCTTTACTATTTTATGGATTGGGGTTGCCCGTCTGCAGCAGGCCTTATAGGCTTTATTATTATACGGATCGGGACTGCCCGCTTGCAGTAGGCCATATTATCTTTATATCATACTTGGACTGAAGGATCCCCTTCGGAGTCTGTACACTCCCCAAGTGAGCATAGATGATTATATATATTCGGGATGGACTTCCCAGAGCATGGGCTTGCCTTACTTACGATGATTATATATATATTCGGGATGGATTTTTTCAAGGCATGGACTTGCCTTACTTATTTATATTGTAATGAATTTACCTGGACATGAATCTTGTCCGTCTTATTTGCATTTGGGGATAAATTACCCCAGGGCTGGATTGGCCTTATACGGTACTGAGTGACTGACTGTCAGTCGATGTGTATATATATACGGGTTGGAACACCCGTGGAAAGGATTGGCCATAAACTGTACTGAGTGATCGAATAACTTGTGACCAGTATTTACATGAGGTCTTTTTTTTTTTTACTGAGATGTCATATTCTTCATATCATGCGGTATTGATCTATTTCACTTGTACTGAGTTTAACTGTTAAATTTGAAAGCATGTCTACATTTTGTACCATTATTTATACTGAACTGTACCTGCGGAGCTCGTCATTACTTTCAGCCCAGAGGTTAGTCTTGTTACTTATTGAGTTAGTTGTACTCATACTACACTCTACACCTCGTGTGCAGATCCAGGTGCTCCCGGATACGATGGCTGTTAGAATTCGGAGTTCTTTCCGTTGGAGACTATCAAGGTAGCTGCTTGAAGACCGCAGACTTGATTCCCTTCATGTTTACTTATTGTTCTGTTCTATATTTCAGACAGTGATTTTTACCAGTCAGATTTTGTATTCATTTAGATGCTCATGTACTCAGTGACATCGGGTTTTGGGAGTGTTTATATATGTTTTTGTAAATTTTCTTTCCCTGAATTTAATCATTTTGTTTTTAAACATAAACGATATGGGAGTTTATTGAGATTGTTGGCTTGCCTAGTATTGAGATAGGCGTCATCACGGCAGGTGAGATTTTGGGTCGTGACAAAACATGAATGCTAACGGATGGATTGAAGATGATTTCTATCCATGGTTTAGGATGAACCTGCCCAGATCGTACATTAAGCACGATGATCTGGTAAATTCACTTTTTTTGTTTTTCTAGTTTACATGATATGATTTTTTACCCTATCTTTCCATTATGCTTTTGCAGTTTCTTTCAAAGAGTATTTGTGACTATCTTCCTCCTAGTTCGGTTAAAACAATACTTTGATATAATGGGAAGGAGTGGACTGTGTCTCTAACAGGTGTTGTTCGAAGAAGACTTGTTAAGGGGTGAAAACAATTTATTGTCGACAATAATTTGAAGAAAGGGAGTGTTCTTCTTTTTGAACTTGTTGAGGCTACATCAAGGGCGGTGATATTCGTTGTTGAAGTGCTAGGAACATCTAATGCTTAGCTTTTTCGATTTTTTCATTAAGGTCATATAGTGATTGTGTTCTACCCTTGTCATTAAAATATTTATGGATTAATATGATTTTTTTTTTATAATATTGTCTGTTATTTTTCCTTGTATTATTGTTATACTTATTTATTTTAAGAAGACTGGAAATATTGTCTATGATTTTTCCTTGTTATATTTTTTTCATGTTTATGGAAATTATTTTATACATTTGGTACAAGGAAAAAAATGACTAAAACCTAAACTACTAGGAAGAAGACTGGAAATTACAAGTCCCCCTCTTCTTTTGGATATAATAGAACCCAGTACAAGTCTGTGAAGCATTAAAAAACTATTGAAAATCGAAATTAATTTGGTCATAGAGAATGAAAAAGTAATCACGAATAATGAAAAATTGTATTAATTAGTGATTCAAAGTTTTGAAGACCGAAATATTAAATACAATTCAATCACCTAGACTCTTCGGATGAAAACAAACTAATAAGGGAAAGAACAATTTTGAGAAAAACATTGTTGCAGCCAGATTTCGAACCTTGGCACCATATGAAAGGAAAAGAACTTTGAGAGTTGATCAACCAAAGGGTCTATCGGCACTTATGGTTGGAATCAATATTATAAATACTTTAATACCTTTATTAGTGAGTTGATAAAAAAAGAGAATGTCGCTACTTTTTTCGAACCCAGGGATCAAAGGTTAAGGGAAACACTTGGCAAATGCTTTCTTCATCGCAAAGGTTAAGTATTATGAACTTCAAGATTGTTTCTTCATCGCTAATAACTTCTTAATCTTTATCGCTACATTAAGATCGTGCATCATTTTAGAGTTCAACACGATAAAATTTTGGCATCGAGCAAATGCTTTCTGCACTCTCTTTATTAGAATAATTTTATTTTAAGTATTGAAGTTAGAATACAACGCAACTAATCCAAAGCCATGGGGAGAGATAGCAATAATTATGTAGTAGCTAATATGCCAGCCATAAGGCATAAACGTTGGAGAATTCATTTTGATTGAAATGTTTAAACAAACTAAGAAATGCATAAGTTTTATAAATCATTAAACCACAAACTTTATGCAAAACAAGCAAAATATTTTCAAAAATAAAAAGTCCTGGACCAAATAAAATAACAATGCATTAGGCCTATTGAGAACTCCATGTTTTAGAAATAGTCTTTATCAAATATTATAGTTTCAAGTCTGGTTTGGAATTGAGATCAAACAAGCTTGATTGCGATTGCGTAGCGTCAATTTGCTGCAATTAAAATCAAACAAACACTATAAGAAAAGATAATAAGTAATAAATCTAATGTAGTTGCAAAATTATACCTCATTCACACCTAGGGAACCATCATGCTCAATGTTTGTACCTCTTCCTTGCCCATTACCCCTACCCCTGCGTCCACCACTTCTACTGCCACCTCTACCACCACGATTGCCACTACCACTGCCACCAATCCTGCCACCACCCCTGTCACCCCCTCTAACACCAGTTCTTCCGCCATTACTAGCTCCAAATAAACCACGCGGTTTTGAACTTGTAAAGTAGTATTCAATTCTTCCTCTATATCGATTCAAATGTGGCCTGCTACGTGAACGAGTGTACTGGGGATCTCGTAGAGTTGTATCTTAAATTTCATCTGAGTCATCCTGGTCGAGGTTTGGCATGATCATTTCGTCGTCCCAGTTTTGAAGATCATTCACTATCATCTTCAATTTATGCTTAACATATTGAACCTTCACGCTAGTGCCCAGTGCTATATCACAAGCCATGTCAAAATACTTCAACATGCTCATGTATGTCTTGTACTCAGGAGTCATGTTTGGTTAACCAACTTGATGGAACTGATCCAAGTGTGGCCTAATAACATCGCTTTTCCACCTTGTCAGTATATACCTTTCATCAATTTTATCAATCTTCTTGTACGACAAGATCTTGAGTATATGGAAATAAAGTATCCCTCTAGACTTGAACCATTTGTAGCTGCAACTAAAATAATCACCGATAGGTATATATTCAACAGTGTACTCTCCTAGATTTTCACCATTTTTTTGTACAACTGAATAATCACTAAAGATGAATTTCTCAACACCAGGGACAACTTGATGATCGTCGGGGCTGCTGACTTCACAATGATACAATTTCCTTAGCTGTGTCTTGAAACATTCATACACTGTACGCGTATAACACTAAATTACCTTCTCCTCCCACTTGAACAATGACTCACACACAATTTGAAAGCCCTTTGACATGTATTCCGCTTCCAACTCTTTCGCATGCTTAGCTCTTATAGCTAGCTCATATTGGTGAACAAACATGCTAAGAGTGCTTTGACGGGTAATATATCCATCAAAGAACTCATGCATCCCCTCACTTCTTTGCGTAGATAGCATACCAGCCCAAAAATACACATCAAGGTACATAGGAACCTATTTTTCCTTCTTAGAGTAAAGCTTGTTGAACCAATTCCTTGTATGCAAATTATACTTTGCAATATATTCTGTCCATTTTCTCTCAAAAACTTCAACAGTAATACTATAAAGGACCATGGATTTAAATTCTCCACGTGTAATTTTAGAAGGACGAACACCACTTAAGTAAAGAGGAAACTTTGAAAATATATGTCAAATACAATACTCTATGTATTGTATGTGGCATCACTTCAGCAATGGTTGGCTTAATACTCGGACATTGGTCAGTTATGATCGCATCTGGATGAAAATTTCTCATGGCCTCAAGCCAAGTTCTAAAAACCATTTATAACTATCGATATCTTCATGAGACATGAGAGCACCTCCGAGTAAGATGGATTGTCTATGGTGATTGATGCCAATAAATGTAGCACATGGCATATTATATCGATTCACAAGGTACGTCGTATCAAAGCATATCACATCATGGAATTGCTCATACGCCGCCTTACAGTGTGAATGCACCCATACCACATTTCGCAGCCTGGCAATATTATCAACGTCTATTGAATAGAAAAACTCTATATCCTTTACCTGCATTTCACGAAATTAGTTGAGCAATGACTGTGCATCCCCTTCTTGCATTTCAAAATTCCTACTCTTTAAAATAAAATTTTTATAATCTTTTGGATTACAACCCAAATTTTACGGTCCACCACGTTAAATCTCCGCAAGTCTAATATTCTTGGAGGGTCTAATACTAGATCAATCGTGAGCTACAAGATTCCTCTTCAAAGAATCACAAACGGACATATGTCCAGCCATCAGGCGCGATATGAAAGGGAGAAAATCATGATTATGATCGTGAATGGCCTTAGAGATGCGCCAACAACCAGAATCATCTAAAACATCAGTGAGCCTAGCTTTACAATTGTTACTCTTGGTGGTAAACTTGGTTTTGCGAATCCTATCCCTATTACAATAGTAAGTTATGTACCTGGCAGTGTCACCACCCTTCTTGTTGGAATTTCTTTTGACAACGGAGAATCCTTTCAATCGTGCATGTTCTTTGTAGAATGCAAACAAAGAATCTTTATCTCTATATTGCATTCCGAAGATTGGATCTAGAACCACATCATCTTCAGTGAAATCATTCTCCATTTCCTGATCAACATCATATAACTCTAACTCATTTCCTAAAAACTGCTCCTCATCATCGTCAGCTTCTCCATAATATTCTCCATTGGGTTCTTCATCATCATCATCTAAGTGCACAACATTGTTGAAACTACCGTGAGAATGAACATCGACCCATTCGTATTCATTCAACAAACTGTCGTCCGATGTCATCCCTAAAGATCTGTACAACTCATCCCTAACTCGATCAAACCTATTATCTTGGTTCATATTTATAGTTGTTGTATTTGTGTTATATTCATTTGGATTTATATTTTCTTATACCGCCAAATTTTCTTGGTTTGAATCCATTTTTAGATAACGAGGAAGTGTCCACTTTGACTTGGTTTGATAAGGAGAAAGTATTGATACTACTAAATCTGGTGAATTTAAATTTTCTTCCTCCTACTAAATCATATACCATTTTTTTTAAGGAAATACAATAATTTGCTATACACATAAAATACAATGGAAATACAATATGATGTAAAGACTTTTCAGCTTTCTCCGTAAATGAACATAGATGATTTCACGCGGCTCAATGCTTGGGAATAGGAAGAGTTTCTCCATATTTAATTTTCTGTTTTGGAGTAAAAATTATAGGGCTAAATAATTAGGAGGTCGTCGAAGTAATTTCACCCGTGTGGCCATAGTTGGGCCACATTAGTGTGGTCGTTTAGCCCTACAATTTCCATCTTAATTATTAGGGTTGCCGTTTAAAATCAAAGCACTTCTTCCACTTTTGCTTTTATTATTGTCGTTTTCTACTTCCTTTTTCTCTTCAGTTTGTTTCTTTTGTTGGTTTTGGTGGGAATATATGCTTTATTTATGATGTTATCCGAAATAATTGGATCTCCAATCCATCTCACTACGCGAGTCAACCTAGTAAGTCAACAACTCGAAAAGATCATGGGGAATTCAATTTTTATATTATACACAGTATTCAAGAAACTCTCTTGCTTAGTTTAACTAATAAGAGCTATTAAAATACTAGTAACGCTCACAATAATGAAATTCATTGATTAAAAACTGATCATTGTATGATTACATTATTAGTGACGCTCTTGACTTTTGAAGATTCGGCGTTGATGCTACCGCATATTGCCGAATAATAAAGTAAGAAAAGGGGCAAGGTTCCTTTTTATTTATTTGCTTTGTATTTTGTAGAAATATGTGTCCCAAATTATAATACACGCTGTATCCCAAATACTATCACATTATAATTTGTTTGTTTAGGGTGGAATTGAGAATTGGATAAATTTTGTTTTCAATGAATTCATTTTTCTTACTCCATGTACTGTTAAGTGTTATTAGCAATATTATTGTAAATCTAACATGTATAGGGTTCAAAAATTTATATAGGTTAAAATTGTCTTGCACGTGTATATATTCACTTATGTACTCTATTGCTTTTAAATCCTAACAACAAAAGGATATATTCTATAGCATATTGCAAGCAATTCATAACACAAACATCTCAAGTTTCAAATTTGTACTTTTTAATTCTATTTTGACGAAATAATTTGTTACGTTTTTTAAAAATAGAAACAAAAAGGAAGAAGAAAAGAAAAAGAAAAAAGGAAAAGAGAGGAAGTAGCCTAGTTTCATGTCCTATCCAAAATAAGTACCCGAAGAGGTGGAGAGAAATGAAGAAAAGCATATTCTGTTGCGGAAGCCGAATATACAAAGAGTGATTAAATTACAACTACTATATCTAAAGGCAGCTAATAAATTGTAAATGAGACAATAATAAAAAGAACACCAGAAATTAACGAGGTTCGGCAAAATTTAATTTTTGCCTAGTCCTCGGACACAATCAACTCAAACTTTATTTCACTCCAAAAATACAAGTGAAATACTAGAAGAGAAAAAGAAGATTCAAATGTCTTAGGAGATAAGAAGGCAGGTGAGATATTTTCAAATGAACAAAATATAACGACCCGACCGGTCGTTTTGAGCCCTAGCTTGTCGTTCAACAGTTTGAGGCCATGATTAGTTTCACTTTAGATATTATGACTTGTACGCGTAGTCGGAATTGAGATTTAGGGAGTTCAGAGTTGATTTGGAAAGAAAAATTTCATTTCGGAAGCATTAAGTTGGAAGAATTGACTAAGGTTAGGTTTTTGAGTAAACGATCTCGGAATCAGGATTTAAAGGTTCCAACAGGTTCGTATGATGATTTCGGACTTGGGCGTATGTCCGGATCGGGTTTTGGATGACCCGAGAGCATTTTGGCGCCTATTGTGGAGGTTGGCATTTTGGAAGAATTTCATAAATTTGGATTGAAGTGGATTTCAATGTTATAAATGTTCGTTTGGGATTCCGAGTCTGGGAATAGCTCCGTATGGTGATTTTGGTATTGGAACGCGTCCGGAAGTGGATTCGGAGATCCGTAGGTCATTTTGGAGTCATTTGGCTAAAACTAGAAATTTGAAGGCTTTTGAGAAGTTTGACCGGAAGTGGAATTTTTAATATCGGGGTCAGAATCTGATTTCGAAAGTTGGAGTAGGTCCATAACGTCAAATGTGACTTGTGTGCAGAATTTGAGGACAATCGGACGAGATTTGATAGGTTTCAACATCGATTGTAGAAGTTGAAGTTTCAAAGTTCGTTAAGTTTGAATTGGGATGCGATTCATGATTTCGATGTTGTTTGATGTGATTTGAGGTCTCGAGCAAGTTTGTGTTATGTTATGGGACTGGTTGATATGATTGGACGGGGTCCCGGGGGCCTCGGGTGTATTTCGGGGTGGTTTCGGATCATTTGGAGCTGCTTGGGAACTGTTGTTGCTGGTGTCTTGTGTCCTTCTTCGCGAATGCGGTGAAGAACTTGAGGAACCTACGCGAACGTGAGTGGGGAGTCGCAAACACGTAGAAGGAAATGAGGACTGGGCCTGAGGATGTTTGGCCTACGCAAACGCGAGGCTGGGTATGCGAACGTGAAGCAGTGAGGGCGAAAAGCTTCGCGAACGCGTCGTGAGGAACGCGAACGCGAAGGAGGTTTTCGGGGCCTGAGTTGGCTGAGCTTCGCGAACGTGAAGGGGTTGCCGTGTTCGCGAAGAAGGAGTCAGACTGGGCAGTGAGATGTTTTAAAATGGGATTTTTGGCCATTTTCACTTCATTTTCTCCATGGGAGCCGATCTTGGGGGCGATGTTGGAGCTCCATCTTCAACATCTATATCAAGGTAAGTGATTCCCACCTATTGTAAGTTAAATACATGGTTTATATATGGA